ATTCACTCTCGCTAACGGATCATGCTGCGTTCTGGTTGTCTGCAGGAGTAAAACCCATTATTGTATGTATATCCCTCTGGTGGCAAAAGAGAGAACACAGTTTGAACCACAGTTCGAACCAATTTATAAGCATGATTATACCGGTGCGTTGTTTTACTTGCGGGAAAGTGATTGGCAACAAATGGGAAGCTTATCTTGGTCTGCTGCAGGCCGAATACACAGAGGGGTAATTATTACATTTTATCGATATGTAAATAAATAATTTCTCATCATTTATGGACTAGTTTATCCGTCGATAAAATTCTAACCTTACTTTCGAGACTTCGTAGAACCCACGAGATAAACAAGTCTACGTATATCGAACGCCTAAAATGTGTGGCAATAGCAAATTATATTTTTGTTGATCTATAAGTAATAATACCTTGTAACATGTTTGTTGGAAAAGTGTATATCGTTACCATGTAAATGTGCTTATTTATGCATTGCAGAGATGCACTCGATGCACTCGGATTGAAGAGATACTGCTGCCGCAGAATGCTCCTCGGACACGTCGATTTGATTGAGAAACTTTTGAATTATGCACCATTGGAAAAATAGACGACGTTCTCAATATTCATCCCCATACTCTACATCTTGTACATTAATGCATATGTTGTATATAACTGTATAAATTAGTTAAACGATAATTGTGGTGGACGATAAAAATGAAGCGCATCGATTCGTATGTGTTGCATAAATGGCGTTAGAATATAGGCAGTATATGTTACTATTTTGTAAACTACCATGGCATTCCTTCCGTTCTATATGTAATAAGCAGGAAAAATAAATACGCAAAATCTATTGTAAAATGTATTTTATAACTGTATTTGTTGCATCTCGATTATCATTTTACCATGTATGTGTAAAAATTTTCAACAGTTATATAAAAAGTTGATTCGTTTACAAAAGTCTCCAAGCAAAAAACATTGCTACGATAAAACATTCCTTTTTTACGTTTCATAGTAAATGCAACATAGAAGCGTGAAACATTTTATACACCGTATGCCTATCGTATGTCTAAGTCACGGAACGGAAACTGTACATTTAGAATCGTGTGTACGAAAGATTTTTGTTTTTTTTTCTTACAAATGATGTACAGACTTTTAAATTTTTTCCTAACAAATTTATGTTGTTGAATTAAAAAACGTGTTCTATATCGCGAGACGATTACGTATTTTCTAAATTAAAGGAACCGTACATATACGTACGTTTTTAATCATTTTGAACGCGGTTGAGACTTCAGTTATATATAAAAAAAAAAAGAGTACTATACGTTAAAATCGAACGAATTACCATAAATAATACAAATTCTTAATCTTCCAGTTTTTTCTTTTAAATATTAACAATTCTCTGTTGCAACGTATTTCTTTACAACTCGAATACTGCCAATGGTTTTCTCAGTCTGTATATGCCTCCTATCGAATGAACATTGTAAACGTGACGATTACTAGCATTCGGAAATGCATCACCTACTCAGTATACCGATCGTAATTACATAATTTTATTCTCCCATGATATAATTTTAGAAATTTAGGCGTGGAGGCATATTTCGAATCGTGTTTAGAGTACACCGAACATCGGTGTTTTGGCTCGTCTTTGCATAGCAACCGAAGCAATCTTTGTAACGAAATAGTTTCTTTGTATCTTATCGGAGCACTCACTTATAGGCACATGAGTAGCAAGTAAATTTCTGATACAATTTCTCATCGCCAAGGTGCTTTTGGAAAATAAGTTATTGCAAATGATACGCATCATTCGTGATTGTCTACTTAAAAATATCAGAAATTTAGTTCCTACGAATCTTGTAAGTGTATCTTCAAACGTTTATCGTTTGGAGCATTTGGAATATGTACAAATCGTACTACGGACACCCACTTTTAACTGTACAAATTTACGATATCTATCAGCGCGCTACGAGATCCAAACACTAGTGCCATGAAACCGATGATGCATATGACGATGTTCTTCAATGCCACCCAATTTCCTGGACCAAAACCAACGTCCCAGTACGTTACAGTTTCTATGAACACCGGTATCAGGAGTCCCAGTATAGAAAAGCAAAATGCACCGATCAATCCGATGAAGGGCCCGATAGTCGGCACGATTACAGCCAATAGAACTGTAACATAATGCAATTTGTTCCATTATCATTATCAATATCAATTACGCTACACTACGCTATCGAATAACTATACAGGGTATCCCAGAAATGTCTCGTAATCCGGAAATGGCGAGTTCCGCGGATAATTTGAGGCAAATTCTTCCTTTACAAAAATTTTCTCCGAGTCACCGTTAACGAGTTATCAACGAAAAACAGTGACCAATAAGAATCGAGTACGGCCGACGCACGGCGGCCCAGTCAACCAGCGCGCGAAGCCCAGTTCCGCTCATTGGCTCGGTCGCCTCGCGCTAGCCGAGCTCGCCTCTCATTGGTCACTGTTTTTCGTTGATAACTCGTTAACGGTGCCTCGGAGAAAATTTTTGTAAAGGAAAAAGTTGCTTCGAATGACCCGAGGAACCCGCCACTTTCGGATTGCGAGACATCTTTGGGACACCCTGTATAGCAGGCAACACAATAGTTTCTATTCGATAACCGATCAAAGTGTCCGTCGCGTAATCTTAACACTATGCCGCCCGGTGGCACCAGGCTGGTGCCAAGCAAAAACTATCTGTTGTACGCCGGTGGTATACCACTTTGGTGCCATTTGAAAGAACTGAAATAACATTTGAACTATATTTCTTGGGTGTTAAAAGGCAGCAAACTAACTACAGCATCGTGCTTATTTAACTAAGAATCAAGTATGAAAATTCTTGGATGACATATCTTAATTTTAGGAATTCAGATTACCGTCGTCTTCGAAATTGTTTTTAAAATCTAAAATCTCCAAGCTATTATGCCGGCGTCAAACAAAAGAATCGTATCCAAGATCTTCGGACGGCATAGCGTTAATATGCGTAGCATCGATTAAAAAGTACCTGCTCCCGCGACCATAACTGTTCTCAAAACGTAATTGGCCAGGACTGGTTTCTTCTGGAATCTGTCTTTGATACCATTCCATGCGATATCGAGGCATACGTAAAATTGAAGACCGAACGTACAATAAACAGCCAGGGCTATCAAGATCTTTACAACCTGCGCCGGTCTGGAAATTAACATATCGATCAACATGTTTATAAAGTACCATTAAAGTACCACCATACAAGTAAAAGATTCTTCGTAGGTTTTTTTGAAACCTTCTTCTTTCTTTCACCGTCGGTACGCAATAACTTACATTTCTTCCGTGGGCAAGTTCAGCGTGATGCTGTCCAAAGTGTTTTCCTGGTATCTCGCATAGCCCAGAAATCCCAACAGAATGTATATAAGAGTAACCCCGGACATTCCCTTATTGAGAACACCGCAGATTCCGACAAAGTGCTGCGGTGTTTTCATGTTGTTCTCCAACGGCATTACAACACCTAAAACAGCGCGGTATTCCGGTATCAGTCTCCTTGGTCCTCGAAGGTCGATGAAACAAACGTTGAATTCAATGTACCTATCGCTTCCATGGCGAAGACGGTTATACTGAAGAATTGCGGGAACCCGGCGATAGGTGCCATCAACGGTACCGACGTCAAAGGCGGAAGATCCCATACCAAGTAATAAAACGTAATTCCCAAACCTGTTCCCATAAATATATTGGCTATCATGGAGACAGGCGCGAGGTACTTCAGGTTCGGTATCCAACTGAGCAATATCATGGGGATCAACAGACAGGCGGCCGTTAATCTTATACTAAATTCGCCCTCGGCCACATCCGCATAGTGCTCGATGATTTGATTAAAGTTCGCTGCAACTATCACTGTGTACACGCTGCAGGTGCCAAAGTACGTTGCGAATAAACTAATTTGAATTAGATACCTGTGGACAGCAAAACCGCCGAGGTGTTACATAATCGTCCTTATGCTGACAACGTTGTGTAACGATCTATTTGATCTTGCCATATCTTGCGGCCGCGAGTGATTTGTACACCAACGACAAGAACTAATGAACATTACTACCAAATGCCACCTGTGTAAGCAACCGTGTTACATCTTACCTAACTGGCTTCGAAAACCTCCTTCCCCATTCTGGTCCCGTGGAAAACGCTACTTCCGCCACGTCCGCGAAGCTCATTTCCGATCGACGCGTTTTGTGATAAAGGAAGTGCGCGCATTTTATCTGAAACACGATCGATTTCATTTACAATTTACAATACCGCAGTAGCAGCAGCAACGTCGTCGGTATCTTAACCAGTTAGCTGTGTTTGGCGAGTCTCTCTCTCTCTCTCTCGTCAGAGAAGTGACAGTACAGTAATGTCTCCCTAATTGACGCTCATATTGTCCACAAAAATGGACGGATTTGGGAAGAGGAGCCTTGCGACTTGTTTTTATATTGTATTATATTTATATTTATTATATAAATATATATAAAATATAATATAATAATATAATATAGTATATATTATTATTATTATATTATATATTATTTATATTATATTATTATATTTACCGATTGTCAACGATTATAAAAATATGGTGCAAAGCCGGAATAATCGTATTTCCAGTTCCCAAATTGTCCATTTTTCTGCACAATCTAAGCGTCAGGTAGGGAGACATTACCGTATTTTGTGCCGTGACGAGTATTACTCGTCGTGCGTAAAAAGTAGCGACCATTGGCTATTTAAATTGTAATTTTAGCGAAAACAAGAACATATTCTCAAATTTCAAGACGTTTAGAATATTTTCAAGCGAATCCTGCACGAAGGTGTTTACATTGTTATAAAAATAAGATTAGAAAAGAATCACGATATCGGTGTTCGACGTGCAAAGTGCTAATATATATATATTCTGTGTTCGACGAGTATACTCGTCGTCGCTTAGTTCTCGCGACACGTATAGGTAAGCGTTCTAAAAAGGAGACGCCACAGCTATCTGGTTGATAGACCGCGGATCTGTACACGAATAAAAAATGTCCTTGGGTTTATTTTCCAAGAGAGATAAAAAGACGGTATACGCGGCGATATCCGCGATCTAGAAGTATACGTTGCAATTGTTGTTTACCAAAATGTACGCGCAGTGTGTGCAAACAAATGCCACCAAGATCGTAGCGAAGACACCGACAAGGAGACCAGCATGCTTGAAAGCTATCGGCATAGATAGGATACCAGTGCCGAGCGAGGCCTTCAATAAATGCGTTAACGTGTCACAGTCCCTGGAAAACAAGACGAAGCTGTATATAATTGACGGCTGTCGCTCGGAAATTACGAGAACACGAATATCTTTGCTCGTCGACAGAATAACCGACAACTTTTTTTTTCACCAATACAATCCGAACAACCGAATAATAAAGACTTTGAACCGTATTCGATTCGCGCGTTACTTTACAAAGTACACATTTTGCTAATCGTTCGATCGTCGACGTTGAACAACAGATACACGCGCGCGTTGTTTGCCAATCGAATGGCGCAATTTCAGTTACAACCGGAGAGAATACGCATAATAAATGTATAAACAATTCTATCGCCGATAATTAGACCGCGGATTTGTCGCATTTTGCGAGAAAACCGAGTGTACATGCGCGTGGAATACAAGACGGTAAAAATATTCGTGCGAATGTTTTTTAATCCCTTAACTCGTACGCTCGAGTTATTTCGAGCGCGCTAAACAGGCCAAACTGTCGAACACACTCGAGATAATTCGAGCGGCGTTGTATTTTTTGCTGCTATAATTATTTTACACTCGAATATAATCGAGAATTGAAAATAACAATGTGGAAGCAAAGAAAAAAAATCGTTCTATTGATATTTATCATTTATATGGGACTGTAAGCTATAACGATTATTTATTCAAGAATAAAATATAGCTTTTATAATATATATTATATTAATATATCCAAAATTAAAATAAAAATTTTGATTATTTTTGTATTTTTTTTTAATTTTTTTGCCAAGACAATGTTCTAAATTGTGTTTTTTTACATTAACAAAAATTGATTTTTTGGCCGGTTTTTTAAAAAAAAACTGTGCGTTCAAGCCTTTTGGTTCGTTTTTATAGTTATTGGCAATCGGTAACTATAAAAACGAGCCAAAAGGCTTGAACAATCGCGTCTCCTCTTCCCGAATTGTCCATTTTTGGCTCGTTTTTATAGTTACCGATTGCCAATAACTATAAAAACAAGCCAAAAGGCTCGAATAATTGTTATCTTTTCTTCCCGAATTGTCCATTTTTATGGACACTCTGAGCGTCGATTAGAGAGACATTACACTGTATTTACACGGGGAATACGGAGACACGTGCCAACATAGTACATATTCGAAGCCGTTGCTGTACCTGGCGTCCGATGGACTATACTATTAAATTTTCGTTTCATTAATCGTCGCATCGTAACCGGACACTCACGTTGTCGGGTTATCGATTCTTCTTTCGGTGAACGGATCAAATGTTTTGCCCTCTCCTTGCGCGGCGCTCTCCAGATCTCCTCTCGGAGCTACTTGTACTTTATATCTGCAAAGAAAAGAAAACAATTACAAAACGTGTAACGGTGACGTACGTTATTGTTAACGATGCGCGGTTGCACGAACGATAATATAATCTGTTAACGGAGGAGAACGAAGCAAGCAGAGCGATTGTTTGTTTTTCCATTTATCATAGAATGAAACGAATAAACCGAATTCGGTGTTTTTCTGATCGTTCGTTGTCGCGAAAGCATCCAGGTGGTGACCTTTGAGGAGGATAAGCGATGCCCGATAAGTTCGCTCGATCTTGCCGACAATAGGTCAAAAGTAAACGCGAATTTTTGACTACTTCTTAAACCGATGCTGCAAGAATAACATCGTTGAGCGCCTTACTTGGACGAAAACACGCCGTCTTTCATGACGGACCCGTCCTGAGGCAGGAAGGTGTCCATCTCCGTTGGCGATTTATTGTTTTCCTGCGATAAAAACAAAACCAATAAATTACCATTTATTATTATATTATATAATATATTATTATTATATATAATATATAATTATGTTAATATTTATTATTATTAATAATAATATATTTATATTATATAATTTACTATTTATCTTTTTACTAAAAATCGTCTACAAAGCTGCTCGAATACATACCATTTTTGTGCTTGCGTAGCGCTTTTGGCAGCCGAGACGAATCAACTGTAATCAGAAGATCGACAATTAAAATACACGCGTGCATACATTATTTTTCGAGGGACAACGACGACACGTGAGAAAATAATGTTCTCGGGACAATTACAGTTTATCGGCTAATTACTCGATACTTTATGGAACCATAAAAATAACGATAACGGTAATCTTTCGAAGCAGCTTCTCTCGGCGAAACAAATATTGGTCGCTCGACGAGATTGAATAAAAGCGCGGAAATTTTTCAATTTAATCGGCTGTACGCGATTGCCGATTGCCGGCGAACGCCGTCGAGGCAAATTAGACGCCGGTCGCTTTTACCATTATCGTTGATCCGTTCAGAGTGTCCAGATCTAGAATCTCTAGACCGCGATACAAGATACAATCGATTGCCAGACGTCGGCAATCGGGTATATAAATAAACAAGAAATACGTATTCCTAATCTAACAGATTCGATTCGAAATCTATTCGTTCCGAACCGAGAGAAATTTCAAGAACCAACAAAACGCGCGATCTGCTACGTTGTTTTCAGAAAATACATATAAATACGTTCGAATTCGAACTCCTGTACCGAATTCATTACACAGTAATGTCTCTCTAATCGACGCCCAGATTGTCCACAAAAATGGACAATTTGGGAAGAGGAGATACGATTATTCGAGCCTTGCGGTTTATTTTTATAGTTATAAATTGTCTGCAGTTATAAAAACGAGCTGGAAAGCTCGAACAATTGTATCTCCTCTTCCCAAATTGTCCATTTTCCTGAACAATCTCAGCGTCAACTAGGGAGACATTACTGTATCTGCAGGGTATTCCAAAAATATCTCGCAATCCGAAAGTGGCGGGTTCCTCGAGTCATTCGAAGCAACTTTTTCCTTTACAAAAATGTTCTCCGAGGCACCGTTAACAAGTTATCAACGAAAAACAGTGACCAATGAGAGGCGAGCTCGGCTGGCGCGAGGCGACCGAACCGATGAGTGGAACTGGTCTTCGCGCGCTGGTTGGCTGGGCCGCCTCGCGTCAGCCGTACTCGATTCTCATTGGTCACTGTTTTTCGTTAATAACTCGTTAACGGTGACTCGGAGAACATTTTTGTAAAGGAAGAAGTTGCTTCGAATGATCCGAGGAACCCGCCATTTCCGGATTACGAGACATTTTCGGGACACCCTGTATAATATACAGTTTACATCACCATCGGTGCGCGTTGACGGAACCGGCGGAAATGTAATCTGATATTTTCGAATCTCAGTCCTGAGTAAACTATAGATTAAATTTGTCCGAGGCTAAAGTTTCTTTTTCAACCAGAAGTTTCGGTTTTGCAGATTTTGTCCGTATTTTGTCCGCCGCGATTATGTCGCCGATAACGTCATCGTTCTCGACCGAACACGTTTTCCTGACCGAACAAGTTTTTTCTTCTCGTAATCTACGATCGCCGACGTTTTTACAACGGCGTTACAAAAGGACATTGAAATTTAAATTGGGTACTCGGCGAACTCGGGCCTGCGTGGGCGTAGCCATTGTCGCGTACCCAAAGATAACTCGTGCTGGAAAGTTTTCCACCGAGAAACGAGCGAGACGCGTTTGTTGTCGTTCGAGCTACAGACACAGCAGAAAGAGCTGGAAATCTTCTTCAATTATTATGAAATGCTAAAAATTCTACTTCCGTTAGAATTACGGCAGCAATCCGAAGATCAAGTTAACCGGCATCGGTTAATCGTATCTCTCATAATCTTTTGGTGTTTGCGATACAAATAAAGCTATCGTCGGGAGTCACGCTTTTCCGAGGGAGTGGGAGGGGCGATAAGAAAGTTGCACGTTTCGCATTACACGCTCGTTCATTCATAGACGATGTTTCGCTTTTTCGAAGCGAAGTAGGCATTACATTTATTTAATATGTATCGCTTCGGGACGCGTATTGCCTTTCCATAGTTTTAGAATGTCGACATGCGAACTCTTATTAAAAGGAACATAGTTGGCGCGATTATGTTCATTTATCCGGTTACGCATTCCCATCGATATTGCTTCAATATGTACAGTAATGTCTCCCTTACCGACGCACAGGGATTGTCCACTAAAATGGATAATTTGGGAAGAGGAGATACGATTATTCGAGCCTTGCTGTTTATTTTTATAGTTATAAATTGTCCACAATTATAAAAGCGAGCCGCGAGGCTCGAATAATCGTATCTCCTCTTCCCAAATTATCCAATTTAGTGGACAATCCGAGCGTCGGTAAGGGAGACATTACTGTACGCGGAACAACGTATAGTCCTCGCGCGACAAGAAAGCGCCTTTGCGCTTATAGTCCCCCCACTTCCACATTTATTTAGCTGCCCCACTGCCGCGGCACTCGATCGCTATTAGCCGAGAACGGCGGCGAAGATCGCCGTCGGTCAATTCATATTATACGGGAAGCGCGAAGAGATTCGATTGTTTCATAATTTTTACAGTAATGTCTCTCTAATCGACGCTCAGATTGCGCACAAAAATGGACAATTTGGGAAGAGGAGATGCACGATAATTCTCAAATTCTTCGCTTTCGTTTAAAAGCTGAGAAACAATTGGCGAGAATTTACTTGAAAAATATAACCGGCGTATCTCNGCGCGTTGACGGAACCGGCGGAAATGTAATCTGATATTTTCGAATCTCAGTCCTGAGTAAACTATAGATTAAATTTGTCCGAGGCTAAAGTTTCTTTTTCAACCAGAAGTTTCGGTTTTGCAGATTTTGTCCGTATTTTGTCCGCCGCGATTATGTCGCCGATAACGTCATCGTTCTCGACCGAACACGTTTTCCTGACCGAACAAGTTTTTTCTTCTCGTAATCTACGATCGCCGACGTTTTTACAACGGCGTTACAAAAGGACATTGAAATTTAAATTGGGTACTCGGCGAACTCGGGCCTGCGTGGGCGTAGCCATTGTCGCGTACCCAAAGATAACTCGTGCTGGAAAGTTTTCCACCGAGAAACGAGCGAGACGCGTTTGTTGTCGTTCGAGCTACAGACACAGCAGAAAGAGCTGGAAATCTTCTTCAATTATTATGAAATGCTAAAAATTCTACTTCCGTTAGAATTACGGCAGCAATCCGAAGATCAAGTTAACCGGCATCGGTTAATCGTATCTCTCATAATCTTTTGGTGTTTGCGATACAAATAAAGCTATCGTCGGGAGTCACGCTTTTCCGAGGGAGTGGGAGGGGCGATAAGAAAGTTGCACGTTTCGCATTACACGCTCGTTCATTCATAGACGATGTTTCGCTTTTTCGAAGCGAAGTAGGCATTACATTTATTTAATATGTATCGCTTCGGGACGCGTATTGCCTTTCCATAGTTTTAGAATGTCGACATGCGAACTCTTATTAAAAGGAACATAGTTGGCGCGATTATGTTCATTTATCCGGTTACGCATTCCCATCGATATTGCTTCAATATGTACAGTAATGTCTCCCTTACCGACGCACAGGGATTGTCCACTAAAATGGATAATTTGGGAAGAGGAGATACGATTATTCGAGCCTTGCTGTTTATTTTTATAGTTATAAATTGTCCACAATTATAAAAGCGAGCCGCGAGGCTCGAATAATCGTATCTCCTCTTCCCAAATTATCCAATTTAGTGGACAATCCGAGCGTCGGTAAGGGAGACATTACTGTACGCGGAACAACGTATAGTCCTCGCGCGACAAGAAAGCGCCTTTGCGCTTATAGTCCCCCCACTTCCACATTTATTTAGCTGCCCCACTGCCGCGGCACTCGATCGCTATTAGCCGAGAACGGCGGCGAAGATCGCCGTCGGTCAATTCATATTATACGGGAAGCGCGAAGAGATTCGATTGTTTCATAATTTTTACAGTAATGTCTCTCTAATCGACGCTCAGATTGCGCACAAAAATGGACAATTTGGGAAGAGGAGATGCACGATAATTCTCAAATTCTTCGCTTTCGTTTAAAAGCTGAGAAACAATTGGCGAGAATTTACTTGAAAAATATAACCGGCGTATCTCTCTCTCGAAAATCAATTTTGCGTTACGGATGTCGCAGTTTATTATCATTGACAATACAGAATGATTTCAGAAACGCGATTCTTAGGAGATCTTGGAGATCCGATCTTTTACAATTGGATGCACTTAAATCTATCTTTAAGAGAACAAGTGTCGTTCCAGCTGTGTCTTAGGCGTCAAAAGGCGCGTCTTTTGAGAGTCTCCGTCTCTGCTTGTAATCGTAAAAACTGTACCGGTAACACGGATCCGCGATTCTTTGTTCGCCGATCCGCGCGTATTCGACGCGCGTTCCCAACAGAGGACAAAGAGGATTATTATCGTCAACCAAATAATCGGTGCGCGTCTTTCGTCGTCTTTCACGCGCGATCAATGGCTCGCGAACGAGCTACTTTTTGTTTTCGATACGCCTTTATCACGGATCGCAGCGAATAAATACGCGAATCTAGGTCTTTGATCTCGCACGCCAAGATCTCGGATCGATCGTTTACAACGACGCGTATTGTTTCAGCCTACCAGCTTGCCGACTTTCTACGGTTATAATTAGCAGATATCGTGGATTTCGATGACTCATCGTGAAATTTGGCCAACATACGGAAATACCTCTCGAATATACCGCGTATGCCGCAGATGGTTTCGGTCTGGTTTCCAATTATTATTTCCCGTATTAGCCGGACGATCCGGCGTCAGCGGGTGCGAATATGGATAAATTCTTGCGAAAATGTTGCTCGAGGCGCAGAAATTCAAGAAATCGATGACGCCGAATATTTGTAAAATGTTTCTTTCGGAAACTGCACAATTTTATGCTATAGAAGGCGTTTCCTCGTGTTTCGGAAATTCGCGCACGCCATCGTCTTGCAAAAATCGTTAAATCGGTACGAATACGAATTTATAAATACATTTTCTACGGTAGATAGTTCGTTGTTCGTTGATACAGAGATCGTCGAAGGTCGTTAAAGCGACGGCGGTTCTTGGGGAGGGCAATCCGCGGGATCACAGAGAGAAAACGAGAG